GGTGTTCTCTAGGCCAACAGTGACAGTGTCTATACTGAACATCACAGGTGTTCCCTAGGCCAACAGTGACTGTCTATACAGGAGGGCTTGTGTAGATGACATGCAAACTCTCCTCCCTTTTATATAAGGAACTTCAGCATCCTCCAATTTTGGTGTTTTTGGAGTTCAAGAACCAATTTCTCATGAACAGTGTGAGATGGTAGTATGTGAAAAATGGAAAATGCCATTTTCAAGTTCTCAGGCACTAGCCCGTGTCACCTGGCCCCATCTCTCTGCCTCCTGGAGATGCTTTTGTCATTTGTAAGTGGAATCCACTGCCTCATTTTTTGTGTTTTTCACTCTCACATCATCATAGACAGGAGTCACTTTGTGGATTACCTGTTCCCAAAAGGAACACCAGAATAAAATAAGCAGGGAAGTACAAAAACCTTAGAGAAGAACAGTAATTAAATAAGGATTAGACTAGATTATTTAAGTGACAACCAGACTTCTACAACACAGACTGCTACACTGTGGGAAAAGTCTGGGTAAGAGCTGGCAGTGCTGGATTCCTGAGACCTAACCAGACCCTTATAAATAACAGGGGTTTGCTCCTACCTACACCCACTTCCTCATAACAAGGATGTCTTGGAACAGCTTCTGTTTGGGGGGCAGCTGTCATTTCGGCCTGTTCAGCATCTATCCACCTCCCTCTGGTACTAGAACTGGTTTATTTTCATTTGGAGAACACTTCATCCCTTCCTATTGTCAGTCCTGAGAGCTTGGGTGGAGCTGACCCTATTCCTGGCTTTGTGGATGGGCAGTGTTTCAGGCCTGAGTTTAGCTCAAGTGTTTATAATGACCTAATAAGACAAGAGAGTCAATCTCAGGTCAGTGTGTGTGTGTGTGTGTGTGTGTGTGTGTGTGTGTGTGTGTGTGTGTATGTGCTGGCAAAGAAGAAATGCTGTGCTCTTTTCTTTATTGAGGTTGTTGAGAGCGTATGATTGATGGGCTTGTAGTACCTAGTATGCCACCCTGCCATGAGGAAAAAAGCCCAGGCCCTGGGATCGAGCCAATCTGGACACACTGTCCTGGACTTTCAGTTCCTCACACCAATAATTTTTATTACACTAATTTGAGTCTTATTTTTAACAACTTCTGTCTGACTTTTACTTCTCTACTACAGATAAAGAAAGCAGATCTTGCCAAAGCACTACATGCTTGACTGGAGTTATCAGGACTGGGCAACAAACTGGGCATGAACTGGGATGCGCCTGATTGCAACTCTTAGCAGTGGTACTCTGTAGCTCCTCGGTAAGATTTCTGCCTTGTCACCCTGTAGGTACCAAACCTCACTTTGACAAACATTTAGCAGTCAACCATTCCCAAAGTTGGTGGCTCCAGCAGGTTCTCAATGCACAGTCCATATTTACTGTTTTTTCCTGGTTCCAATGGAGTTTGGGTCATGCACGTCAGGACTTTCTAACAGAGACGTCAACCTGCTACATAATGAGCATGTTCTGCAATCTTCATTTCCTGCTGTGGGATGTTCTGTATGGCAAATGTGTTGCTCTGATTGGTTAGTAAATAAAACACTGATTGGCCCGTGGCTAGGCAGGAAGTATAGGCGAGACTAACAGAGAGGAGAAAAGAAAGAACAGGAAGGCAGAAGGGGTCACTGCCAGCTGCCGCCATGACGAGCAGAATGTGAAGATGCCAGTAAGCCACGAGTCACATGGCAAGGTATAGATTTATGGAAATAGATTAATTTAAGATATAAGAACAGTTATCAAGAAGCCTGCCACAGCCTTACAGTTTGTAAGCAATATAAGTCTCTGTGTTTACTTGGTTGGGTCTGAGCGGCTGTGGGACTGGCGGGTGAGAGAGATTTGTCCTGACTGTGGGCCAGGCAGGAAAACTCTAGCTACAATTTCCCCTTTTCCTTTGACCAAAATATCTATAACTTCTTACTCAACTACTGGAACACTCAGGGAAAGAGAAATACAGGGGGATGACTGGCAGAATCTTCTCTTTACATGTTATTTCAGACACCATAATCATAGCTCAGCTAGACCTGAGGAGCATTGAAAATAACCATCAGAAAAGACTGAGACAGGAAAACACAGACCATCCAGCTATCTAATTAGAATAATTCCTGAGAAGAGAGCCTGTAAATTCCTGGGCCTGTATCCTGTAGAGAAAGATCCTCCCTGCTTCCTCCAACCCCACCCAAGAAGAAGCTGCATAAATGAGGTAACGTGTCTCCAAAGGGCCATGTTAGCAGTTAGTGGCTATGGAGGAAGGTCTTTGGCAAAAGAGCTAGTGAAAGGAGGAGGGTCCACATTCTGAATCATCATCTGGAGGTCTGTGATCACAAAAGATGAGTGTTCAGTCCATTTGCCAGAGAAGCCACACAAAATTATCAGGAAAGGATGTGTTTGTGTTTAATCTTGCAGGATTACTGTAGAAACCAGGGAGAGATGACCAAGAGAACTGCCAGTAACCAGAAGCCAAATTCAAGTTTTGGCTGCTACTGCAGGTTCTTGCATTATTCAAATGCCTTTGGGGTAGCTGTTCATATAAATGTTCATGTTTACTTCGAATAGAAGATACCACCATCTCATTTCAGTGCTGCAAAGAACCCAGGGAACCCACCCAAAGGAAAAACATTCATAAAAAGTCAGCTTACCTGCTAACATTTAAATGGCTGGTTCACATTTCTTGCTTAAATATCAAATGTTTCTTTTTTTCTCCTAAGAAGTCAATAATGCTGTTTTGAATATCCAAAAATAATTTCCTTGTCCAAAAATAGCACAGATCACTGAAAAATACATGCATTTTCTTTGGGAGGAAATAATAGAAACAGAATACAAAATAAATCCTGATTTAAAAGCATATACAGAGCTCTACCCAACCACCAGCAAAGCAAAGGGTTTCTCAGGTCTACTTAGTTGCCCTCTGAACCAGGGACCACTTGGTCATATAAACTTTTGTCAGATTTTTGTTTCACGTTTCTATTCAACTGTTCATGTGTGTATGTATACACACATATATGTTCTCCACCATTTAGATTATACAGTATGTATATACTTGTGTCTTGTAGTTCTTTTAACACATCATGCTTCCAAACTGAAGTTAGAGATGATTCCATACAAGCAAGCTGAATAAGTATGTAAGTTCTCAGTTCTCATGGTATTCTGAAAATGTCAATGGGAGGCTATGGGAACATTTCCCTCCTAAATGACAGAGAACAGGACTCTGCCTTCTCCCCGACAACTTCTCTGTTTTGGACTCTATTATTGAGGATACAGTGCCTGGAATGCTTGTCGAAACTTCAGAGTTTCTGTAGCAACTTAAAGTACGGTGTGTGTGAAGGGAAAGGGGGCAGTGCAGGAGAGGGGCTCAGTGGTCCAGAGCACTTACCACTCTACAAGAGGGCCAACGCTCACACGTTAGCACCCACGTCAGAAGGCCTGGAACTCCTGCACCCAGGGACCAGATGTTTCCTCCTGGCTTCCATGGGTATTCATACATACACATGTGCACACACATAAACAGATCTCACACACACACACACACACACACACACACACACACACACACACACACACATTTTTTAAATGTAGAGAACAATGAAAACTTTATAGGCTTGAGATTGCTAAAACTATAAATAACTATAACTGTACATATGTCACTTAGGCATACAGTAGGTGCTCAATAAATGTTCACTCTTTGTTCCCTTCCCCTCTACTGATCCCTACGTAGAATATAAATATCAGTAAAAAGGGAAGTTTGTCCCAGTGGTGATGTCCAGAAATCGTGGGTTTTGTTTTTTTCTTCATCATCTTTATTTGGGAACAAGAGAACTACCAGAGTTTCCTCATGGGAGGCTGGAGCTCAGATAACTGCTTTGATCACAGGCCTGTCTGTGTTTTCCCTTGTGTAGCTGCTGCTGCCTTTTGTTAAGTCTGCCACCATCTGTGCTCAGCTTCCTGGTCCAACCCTCTGATCAATGCCTCTCTGTTCAGAAAGGCCTGATCTTCTGGGCTGCTTCAGGACACAAAATGTCTATCTACTATAAGCTGAAAACCTTTGAAATGCAGACTCACTTGCCTCAGTAAACAACAACCCCCGGGAAAGCGTTCATCATGCCCTGGCATTCCCAGGGTGTGTGGAACTAGGCATAAGCAGCAAAGTACCCTATGTTCTGTGATCCAAAGCCAGCATCCCCATGGCCTTCCAGGACACATACCCAGAAATAACACACACTTCTCCTCCCTAGTGATGAGGCTCAGTGAAGCCACCTCACGATAGCTCTAAACCCATTTACAGTCAATGGAGTCTGTCCCTTCTGAAGGCATGAGCACAATGTCCACCTCATTCACTAGTATGGCAAACCCTAACCTGACAGCAGTGTAGAAGAACAATCAACGAGCTTCACTTGTAGCTCTGGGAATTCTAGCCTTGCCTAAATTGTATAACCCCAGATCTCTGGATAATGAGTGCAATATGTGGAGTCTTTGCTTGGCACATAGCGTCCACTCAGTGGAATGGATGTTACAGGTCCTATTGCAAATTAGGAAGTGACAGCTCGTTTTGTCTAGGAAAACTCCAACACTTGGTTCATCCAAACTGCCATCTTTTTTTATTTTTATTTATTTATTTTTTTTCGAGACAGGGTTTCTTCTTTGTGTAGCTTTGTGCCTTTCCTGGATCTCGCTCTGTAGACCAGGCTGGCCTCAAACTCACAAAGATTCGCCTGGCTCTGCCTCCCGAGTGCTGAGATTAAAGGTGTGTACCACCACTGCTCAGCCAAAATGCCATCTTAACTGACATTGGTTTAAAAGACTAATGATCACTTCTATTGGTCTAAAATATTTGCTAAATGTGTCCTATATGTAAGTACGTGAGACCAGCAGTGAACAAAGATCCTTGACAGCTTAGTAATGCAGAAAGTCCACAGATAATTAATAAAGGAACTATTGATTAAGGAATTATATTGAGGAGAATAACTCACTAACGCAGGATAAGGCAAATCTGTCGCAGAGTCCTAGAAGGCTGAGAACCAGTCCCACTTGTTTCACACCACCTGAGTCAGTCTCCACCTTCCAAGAACTCGAGAGAGACGGGACCCTTGTTTGTGCTCCTCAGGTCGTAAGCTAGCTAAGAGGCCATGCTCTAGGGGCTGGTACCCCAAGGTCATAGGTAGAATGTAGCTAGAGTTTTCATGGGTTTTTTTGGAGGCTACTTGTATGCACTTCCTGTTTTTATTTTTTATTAGGTAATATTATTTTCCTTCTTGGATCTCTGAGGGAGTTGAAGATTAGTTATAGTTGAAGATTAGTTAGGATAGAAAGTGAATTAGGTACATTTTGGACTTACCAAAATAGGATAGATAAT